TCTCTAAATCGACTTCATTTTTGTTATTGTGCTAAAGATATGAGGTCATTCAGCTATGACCTTGTTTTTAGAGGCTGTAAATCTGTCTCTCCCTCACGTATTGAGCGGCACACGGTTTGTTTCCATAACAGGAGATACCTCATTTTCATGTTAAGGAAGAGTTCATAAATCTAATTCTAAAATAATTTAATTAATTATTCATCAACAATATCGAAACCATTAAAGAAAATCAGGTTCATAGAATTTTTGTACCTAAAAGAATAAAATATTTCGTCATTTGATTTGTTTAAGCAAAAAGTTAGTATCTTCTAGCTATTTGTAGATGTGCTAGTTCAACAACTCCACAATCATATATGTCATATGTGTGTAAGTTTCTGAACAACAATAATTAAGACATGGGGATGGATGTAACATTCATATTAACAAAGATAGTGCATCCAACTAGATGTAACAAATATATTCGGGCAGCGTACTCTCATTGTTGTGGCTCACACACTCATCATAGATGTTTCTTAGCTAGCTCAGTCTCACTTTTAAAACACGTGCTTCTGTGCTCTCAACACCAACCCTCCCACGATCCATGCTTACAAGCTATAACTTCTCGATATTATAAAATTGTTCTATAACCGAGAGGTGCTACAACAACGACATTTCATCTAGTGTCACCGAAATCTCACCCACAGAGAGATTAAAAGTGTAAGTGTTATCTCTCAGCGAATGCCAACAATTAACCCTTGTTGGCGTAGTCATACCAAATATCGACGAAAGGCATCAAATCAAAATTCAACACAAATTGTTGAATTCTCTTGTCTTATGGTCCAAATCTATTTAACTTTTTACATTGAGAGATTAACTTATATTTCCTCAATCCTACACAATAACATTTATTATAAATTTTATTGAAAATAAACAATAGCCATTAAAATTCAAGTTTTGCATTAACTTAGCTCTTCCATAAGACATAAGTAACATGTTCACCATAATGGGTCAATAGGAAAGTATCTGTTAGATCTCCTGTAAATTTTTGACAAAAGTGACAAGAATCAAAGGTGCATCTACTTATTGGGGAAAGAGTTCTTCACAGGGTGAAGGGAGGAGAAGATCTAAAGCTTCAGCTCGTAGAAGGCGTGAAGAAGCTGATATCGGTGTTCATGTAGAGGAACATCCAGTTGAGCAGCATCATGTTAAAAAGGAAAAGTATGAGGACGTTCCTCAAGTAAAAGAGGAAGTTGGTGGATTTGTAGGAGGCCTACATGATACTTCCCTACTGATGCATTATGTTGAACATGTTGCTTATGCCTTATGGTAGAGTCAATTTAGTGCAAAACTTGAATTTTAATAACTATTGTTTAGTTTCAATAAATTTTATATTAAATATTATTGTTCCATGGTGAGAAGATAGTATAATTCTTATAGACAGTCTAAGATGACCTTATATCGATTAGCAATTGCATAGTCAATGTCTAATATAGTCATCTACTTGTTTACATTAGATTGGAAGGAATAAAAGAAAGTGTTACGAAAGAAGAAGAAAAGAAATAATAAAAACTACTTCAATATAAGAACATGTATTGCTGATTGTGACTTGATTAGCAAAGAACTCATCAGTTCTTCTAGTGGATCATAGTTTTCGACTAGTATTGTGTATTCATCACGTCATTAACTAATTTCTTTGTAGAGGTCATGTCAGATAAAAGGTCATGACTCTTCCTCCAACCCTAATGATGCAGTAATACATCTATACCCACAATGACCATCAACCATGACATCAACAATATCGACAATGTAGAGGTGACATATAGGAGGAAACTACTCTATCACGGGTACTCTCCTTTGCACAAATTTTGCCTTTGATTGTAATTGTTTTTTTAGATGAAGATTCATTTGTTAAGTGCAAGGCATCTACGTGCACAAAATATGTCGGCTCATGCTTTGTAGACCTGTTCGTTGAAGTTTACTCTTTTGTGTATCCTTTGTTTTCACTGTATGAAATGGAGGTACCATAAATGTCATTACAGGATAAGCAATGTCAAGTAACTTTTGCTTAATGGTGACTTTACCTCCTATGTCAACCTCATTGAATTGTTCCTAAAACATATGAAGTTCATGTTCAATGGATAACTCTGGTTAGGATTCATTTAATTCAATATTTGAAAAACTTATTCTCCTCCACATTATACGAATTTCAGCCAAAAAGATTACCCGATGGTCATATCGTGCTAATTCATAAGCACAAGGCTCATATGAATTGGTCAATACACCTACTGTAATGAATGTAGTTATCATGATCCAACATCATCATAAACTGTTGCAATTCAATTCTCGACCCTCTCAATGATCGTTTGCACACACACCTTGCATTATAGATTTGTTTAATCGTTGTGACATTACGATCATTAATTTCTTTTAAACTTGATAAAATATTTACAGATGTAACTTGAGTCTTAGTCATATCAGTAAGTAATGATTGTTCACTGAGATTTAACCTCCCAGCAAAAGAGTGGCTAATTAAACTTTTAGCCAAATCCTAGTTGTGACATATGACTTTTAAGAATTATTTGTCACCATTAGAAGATTTGCCCTTTAACTGAAAAGGACAATCACATTTTCGAGTGTTGTATATAGTAGACTACACATCAGGTTTTTATTTCCTATACTTTCCACCTCTTTCACATCCAAGCAAGACAAATTGTCTTCCTTCCTCGTTCACTAGTAACTTTGTCGGATCTTATAGTTATCACAACAAAACCAAGATTATGTGCAATCCTTCTANTACTTAATGAGATTGTATTCTATTTATTTTAAGTGGCACTTCTTTTAGTACATATTTTAAAGATTGTTTTTTATTATAAAAATATTACAATATCTATATTTTTATATATTTTTTTATACTTTAGTTATTTACAATGTAAAAAACTAATTTATTTACTTTTTGCACTCCTATAATTTTTCCTCACAGGCTTATAATTACATATGGTTTCGATGGGATTTGTGAGACTGAGATACTAACATTCGACTTGTGTGTTCTGCTTGTACGTTTCAGTTTAGATCGATGAATTGTCCCTTTGGACAGGAGGGGGAGATACCTGCAAAAGGCACTCTGACGCTCAAGTTAGGAACGGCTTAATGGATTGGACTATATTTTATTATCATAGTTCACTGTCCCCTTGGTCATTAACTCTATATTTATAGGGTTTATAGCAATTAAGCTCATTAATTCATATTTGATATGGTAATAAATCCAATAATACTTGTTAACATATCTGCTATCCATTAATATCATATTCTTGTGCAATATAACCTGTCAATCAGTCATAAATAGCGTATATTCGCATTTAATATGACCATTAAACGTATTAATTGGCCATTAATGATATTTACCTTTCCTGATTGGTTTATCTGATAGTCGGTCAGTCACTAGGTATAGTACATTAAGCCCTCCAAGTCCGAGTTAATCGTGCGGCTTTAGCCGAGGTTAACTATAGGACTTATGAGTTCGAGGTAGGTTGTTGTATCTTTTTGGGCCGAACGGTTTCACGTATTGAATCCTTGTCATTTATACTATACAACTGACTGGCTGCATACTTGACGCTTAGTCCTTGTTATCAAAGCTTCCTGGTTGATGAGAGTGTAAACCGCTCGGTCTTTGTCTTCAATCTTGACGAGAGGGATTTACCTCTCGACCAAGAGGGATTTACCTCTTGGTCTTTAACTTCAACGAGAGGAGTTTACCTCTCGGCCGAGTGGGATTTACCANTCAAGCAAGACAAATTGTCTTCCTTCCTCGTTCACTAGTAACTTTGTCGGATCTTATAGTTATCACAACAAAACCAAGATTATGTGCAATCCTTCTAGTCCATTGAATTAAGTCGTCACGAGAGGGAAATATTTCATTTGTTGTAAAATTATTTGTTAAATCTCCTTCCGCCACTTCATTTATGAAAGATGAAAAATCTGATATAAAAACAAAAATTTACTTGAGAATCCATACCACAAAGATATTCTTCCATTTTAAACAATATTCACCTATATCATAATATGCACCCTTTACTATCAAACATCATTGATAATAATATAATAATTAAATAATATTAATATGAAAAATCACCTAAAAAGTTATTCATAAATCTAAAATAATAAAACTTTTAATTACTAACAATTCATTACATTAATAATAAATTGAAATTAAAAAGAAACGTAAAATACTAAAAATTTAAAAATAATAATCGAAGTCCTTAAACGAATTTCAAAATTTGTTGAAAGCCTTCGAAATATCCATTAATAGATTTCAAAATTCATTTGTCTTCAACAAATTTCAAAATTCGTTAGTTTTTTCAACGAATTTCAAAATCCGTTGAAGCCTGAATTTAAACATCATGCACCTAGTAACGCGATTATCTTCCTCTACTTCTCCATGAGATGATCACAAACCGTGGGACCATGACCTCCCTCTACCACCAAAGACGAAACGAGGCCTCCTACACACACTTTTCACCATAAACACAACAAATTTTGAATCACAAACACAACCACACTCGAAGAGAAAAAATAGTGAATAAAAACAAGTGAACAAGAAGATTTAATAATGAACAATGATAGGAAGAGCACAAGGTGCAGTTATACAAAGAAGTCAATAAATATGAAAGTGGTTAGGTTAGTATACAATAAATGAACTTTTTACCAACTTTATTTATTTATTTTTTTAAATTAACCGGGAATATTTAGGGAAAGTAGAGGTGTTGAGAGAAATTAGTGGAGGTGCAGATAGAAACGTCTACTTTGTAATTAATCACTCCACGTAGGAGTGGGCCAAAAATGTTATTGGTCCAATCTTATCCTCTTCTACACTAATTTAGTCTATTAAAAATCCATTTAATTAAATATAATTTTTATTTTTGATCTATATTTAATATTTTTTTCTAATCAGGTTTTTATTTTAGTTGTATAAATTTTAAAAGTTGAAAAATCCAAATTATATTCATATCAAAATTATCTGTACCCTAAACCTAATTTCAAGCACCACAACCCCAAACCTTCTTCACTATTCTCTGTTTTAAGATTTTGAGATAAACCCTAAACCTTCTTCACTATTTCTTCTTTTTGATTCACTCGAAATTTCAGTGGTCAACCAAAGATAAATCTAATTGGTAATCTTAAATCTTTAATATATGTTTATGTATGTGTTTCTCTTTCCATTCATTCTTTTGTTGGAATTTGTTTCAGAAAACGCACGTTGTTGCCACTATTGCGCTGGTGGGTGTGGTGGGGTTCGCCGGAGATTAAGATCGAGGCTAGTGCACTGCGTGTTAGGAAGGTTGTTGTTGTTACAAGGTATGTTTCGTTCTTTCACCGTTAGAAACTCCTGTATTTGGGGCTGACATGAACTTGCTTGATATTACCAGCATCATTAAGATGCTTAATCGAGATGGATGAATAGAACTTGCTTGATATTACAAATTTAGCGTGTCACAAACCAACTGATATTAGTAATGGATGAAAGTTGCATCCTGATGCTACTTGAGTGAGATGATTATACAATAACTAAATGGAGCTCTAAAGTATTCAGAACATTGTATAAGATACTGAATGCCTCCTGCTTCTAAATGGGGACATGGATGCTGATATTTTAGAAGCACTTTTCTCGTAGTTCAATCTATAAATAATAACTTTTTTCTTTTCTTTTTGAAGCTTTGTCTAATTGTACCTTCTACAATTAAACCGATGATTAACAGATATGGATTAAAAATATGGTGTATTTTAGGTGATGATAAACTCTTTACCCTGATATCTTCGTGGCAAAGTGAAAGCAAGCACCAGACCACCTCACACTGNACTCGGTCTTTGTCTTCAATCTTGACGAGAGGGATTTACCTCTCGGCCAAAGGGATTTACCTCTTGGTCTTTAACTTCAACGAGAGGATTTTACCTCTCGGCCGAGTGGGATTTACCGCTAGGTCTTTGTCTTCAATCTTGACGAGAGGGATTTACGTCTTGGCCAAGAGGGATTTACCTCTTGGTCTTTAACTTTAAACTCTTCTTGAGAGACTTCGTCATCGAATACGAACTTTAACAAAGTTAGCAACGACTGAACATGAATTACTAGGCTTAATTTATTCCATAATGAAAACATAAGACAAGAACAAGAGTCTAAATCAAATGAAATTGAATTTAAACATGACATTAATAAAGTTTTGGATGCTTCTCCTCAGTTGATAAATCCACGGACCGATCGTTCACGATGACGACTTGGACTACGGCTATAGCTCCGCCTTCGCTCGTCCTTCCTATATGTCCGCTCGGGACTTCTTCGCAAATATCCTTCCCTGGGGAGGCTTCTTGTTTCCTTTACAAACCTACGGAGGTGTCCTGCCCGAACGAGACTCTCTATTTCATTTTTTAGTGTGATGCAGTCTTATGTAGTGTGTCCATGATTATGATGGTACCGGTAATTCTTCCTTTCATCTGCGTTCTTTGGAGATGGTTTCCTTCGAGGTGTGAGAATTTTCGCGTTTAGGGCTTCTTCAAGAACTTTTCTCTTAGGTGCATTGAGGGCAGTATAATGGTGAAACTTGAACGTTCGGGGAAGCTCCCCACTTTTATCATTACTGCCAGCTTGTCGTCCCTTCTACTCCCGCCTACATCAGCTTCTTGTTGCAGCTTCCTTTGTGATAATCGCATCTCCTCCATACGAATGAACTCAACTGCTCTCTCTTGGAGCTCTTCCATCGTTTTTGGTGGTCGTGCATACAATTTTTCAGCAAAGTATCCTGGCCTTAACCATGTAGGCAAATTGTTAATGATAAAAGAGTGATTGACCTCTTTAACTCGTTGTGCGGTTTCAGTATACCTTTTCATAAAGCCCTTCAAAGTTTCCCCTTTCTCCTATTTAGTATTTACCAATTTTGTCGGTGTTATCTCCTGTTTTCGATTAGAGGCGTATTGCCTTCTAAAGAGGGTTTCCACTGTGTTCGGAGGAAGAGTGTTGTACCATTCCAATGCCTCTTCCTTGAGTGATAATGAGAAGGCTCTGCACATGACCAGATCGCTGTTTGTATAGAATGTCATTGCATTACCGAACGTCCTTAGGTGATCTTCTGGATCAGCTGAACCATCATACTTATCCAATGCGGCAGAGTTTTTTCTGGCATTGGAGTTTGCATGATGGTCGCCGTAAAGGGAAGTAACGATAAACTGGTAGGTCGAATGGCCTGCGGGGGTGTTGGTTCCCTTCTACCCCGACCATTCGGGTTGACGTGATTATGGCTTGCTTCGTTGTCATTCTCTCGATTTGACGCGGACCGCTCGGGAGGAACCTGCCCCATCTCCTCTGCATGCCTCCGCTGCATCTCTTGTTGTGCATGCGTCTGCGCTTGTATGGTCTACGCTTGTGCCTCAATCTGAGCTTGTAACTCTTTGATTAAATCTCCGGTGCTCTCCTCTTCCATATTTCTTGTGGTCACCATTGGGTATCTTCAGCTTGCTCTCGGCCCCACGGTGGGCGCCATAATGTTTCGGTGGGGTTTGTGAGACCGAGACACTAACCTTCGACTTGTGTGTTCCGCTTGTATGTTCCAGTTTAGATCGATGAGTTGTCCCTTTGGGCAAGAGGGGGAGGTACCTACAAAAGGCACTCTGACGCTCAAGTTAGGAGCGGTTTAATGAATTGGACTATATTTTATTATCATAGGTCATTGTCCCTTTACCTGGGCATTAACTCTATATTTATAGGGTTTATAGCAATTAAGCTCATTAATTCATATTTGATATGACAATAAATCCAATAATACTTACTAACATACCTTCTAACTGTCCATTAATATCATATTCTTATGCAATATAACGTGTCAATCAGTCATAAATAGTGTATATTCGCATTTAATATGGTCATTAAACGTATTAATTGACCATTAATGATATTTACCTTTCCTGATTGGTGTATCTGACAGTCGGTCGGTCACTANTATAACGTTTTTTGAATATTGTTTATCAGGAATTACAAATGATTCTAAGGATCCATCGGTTGATACCTTCAAGTCTACTGCTTTACCCATATTGAAGCGCTTTGGAGTTCCCTCTGAAGGCATGGAGCTTAAAATAGAGAGTCGTGGATTACCTCCCAATGGTGGTGGCGAAGTTATTTTATCACTTCCTGTTGTTCAGAGTCTATCTGTAAGTTTCTGATTCTTTTGATGATTTCGATTATTTAAACTTTGTTGTTATCTTATATTTTCTTCCTGGCAGGCTGTTAGTTGGATTGATGAAGGTTTTGTGAAGAAAATTAGAGGAACTACCTTTTCAACCAGAGTGTCTGTTCAGTTTGAAAATAGCATGATTAAAGCTACCCGTGGAATAATCAATCCACTGGTTTCTGATGTGCACATTTTCTCTGATCACAGATCAGGTCCTCAGGCTGGAAAGTATGATTCCTTCCACTCAGTGGAATTTGTTAAATATTGAATTTCAATTTTGGAAATATATTGGTAGTAATTGGGTAAGTCATAGTATTGTAACTCCTTTTGTTGGGTATTCTCTCGTTCAGTTCGCCTGGCTATGGGATTTCTCTTGTTGCGGAAACAACTTCTGGTTGCTTCATCTCTGCAGACACCGCCGTTTCTTATGCGAGGGATGATGATACTTCTAGTCTTGCAGATGACGTAAAAGGAGACCTGATGCCTCCAGAGGATATTGGTGTGGCGACTGCCAATTCTTTACTTGGTGAGATAGGTCAAAGTGGGGTGGTAGATTCAACACACCAGGTTAGTATGTAGGCAGTTTCTTTCTTCCCTTTTAACGTTTTTATATCAAGTGATAGGTACTGGTATTAAACGCGTAGAAATATGGACAGAAACTTCTTACTGATATGGAAGTTTTGATTCTAGTCGACTGATGGTAATAGATAGAATGTAGAAGTAGACTCCTACAATAGAGAGAAAAAGATATGGAACCTAAAAAAAGTAAAGAAAATGCATCAGGAATGCACTCTCCCAGGAAGTGTGCTGACTCAAATGTTATGGTGCTAGAATACGTAGCTACTAGTTTAATTTTATTGTCTTGCACGTGGGTTTGTAGGGCTCGTGTATATGATGAAGTTTAATTCCTTTTTGGAATTTTGGATTCCCCTAATATTTTTTTTATTGTTTTGGTTTATAGGGCTTGCTTTTTCTTCTTTGTGCACTATGCCCTCAAGATGTTTCAAAGGTTCGCGTTGGAAAACTTTCCCAGCACGGGGTTGAAACTCTGAGAAATATAAGGGATTTTCTAAATTTGAAGTTCATTATCAAACCAGAGCCGAACTCACAGTCAGTTTTTCTCAAGTGTGTTGGTTATGGCATGAAGAACCTTTCTCGAAAGGTATCATAAAGTCGTTCAATAGTGTTATAAATCCAAAATACCAAGTCTGAAAGAATTATAATTTTGAAGCCTGGAAAAGATCTTATATAAGATTCAAATTAATTTTAAAACCTTCATCATTTTAAGTGTTCTATAAAATTTGAGTCTTAAATTAATATCTCCTTGTCAATACAATGATTGGATAGGAGATGCTGTAAGATGTTTCGATTGTAGCAAAAGAATGTCCTTTTTTGTTGTGTAATCGATCTTCTATGAAATTGGTTTAGAGCTAGTACATTTAGTTAGAATTGATTCGTGACCAGTTGGATTTCATGCTTTGTATTGACTACATTTCAAGCTAAATGAGAGCATTCAATCAAATTTCTTTACCTGTTTTATTTATAGCATGATTCCTTATTTATTTGAACTCTACTATGGATTACAGCATGGCATTAGAGATCACCAGACTTAAAAACACGTGAATGCAGTGCAAAAGAAAATATCTTTTATGTAGTAATTTTTTTATTTTTCTATTAAAATATTGACATGTTATTTTGTAAATTTCTTGAATAATTTTTAAATATTTTATTTACTTGAAATCTTTATTCTTTTAAGAGAAGACTCGTTATTTAATATTTTAAGTATTTTAGCTATATTTCTTGTCCCATTGCTATTACTTGTGAAAGTCACCTGAGATTATCTCCATTATCTATTTTATTAAGCTAACATTTTATACTAAAATTAATTATAGTAATAAATTATGTGAAAGGGTTTGGATCTCATTCCCTTAGAAGGTAGTTAATATGTTTGGAGTAAGTATTTAATTGGATTTCAAAATCTCATTAACACAACTTTTACCAATTCAATAAAGCTCATCTCTTTTAATGCATCTCAATTTCCTTCATCACATTAGGCTGGAACAAGTGTCTCTCTACATATTTACTCAGTCTGGTTCATATCCTTGCCTTTGGTGAACATAATTACAAAATTTTAACTTTTTAATTAGATAAAGTATTTTAATCATTCGTAAATATAAAAAAATATTTTAGTGTCTAATAATTCAAAAACATTACCTTGTGATTTTTTAATTGATGTTAGTTGAAATTATTTTTCAGTCAAAATTTATTAATATTTTTATATTTAATGCAATCAAAATTTTTTTTAATTTACATTAATTAAGATTATTTTTAATTCACTTTTACCATAAATATTTTGTTGTCATATGTTAAGTTATCTTTTAATAATATTGATTAATATTTTTTTTGGCTAACGTATCAACCAATGTAGGCTGAAAATCTTTCTTGAGTGACTAATAAAAAATAATTTTAATAACGGTGGATTGAAAGTTTTTCTTATCAACATTTTAATGACTTTGGATAAAAAATAATACATAACACAAGTGACATTGACAAAACAATCTCTGTAACTAATGTAGATTATATCAGTTGCATTGGCTACTACTTAACCAATGTAGATTGAAAATAAATTTAATATAAATTGATAAAGAAAAAACAATTCCAACAATATTAATAGAAAAATAACTCATATTTACATTGACAGAAAAATTCTAACTTATATCGACTAAAAAATAGTTATATTATAAAAAATATTTAGATTGGCATTAATTAAAATACAATCTTGTCAACGTTCCACATGATCTCTATTAAGATCAACTCAATGATGTGTTAGTTACTAGAGGTCAAAATGACAATATTCTAAACGAAACCAAATCTTAAAAATAATAAAATAAAAAATATAGATAAAAGAAATAAAAGAACTAATTAGAAATTTAACCTTTTTAAATACAATTTCAATTTTCATGATTTTAAATAATTAAATTATTCTGAATTTTTTTTTTAATTTTTTTAATTTTCATTTCAAACAATATATTTTACAATATAACTAGAATTACTCGAGCATGATAATGGTATGTTGTTTTTTCACGCACCTTCAATTGTTTTGTCTTGCACTTTTAATTTTCGAAAATAGTTTTCAGTAAATAAGATTATGTTTCTCTTCATAAAAAACAAGTGCGTGAAATCTATATTCTTCGCAAGCTTCAACGAACTTTGAAACTCGTTGAAAGACAAGTAAGTGAATTTCAATATCCGTTTCGATTTTCAACAAATTTTAAAATTCGTTAAAACTTTTAAAAATTCTTTTAACAGATTTCAAAATATGTGGAAGCCTTTAAAAAATATCTTTCAACAAAATTCGAAATTTATTAAAGCCTTTGAAAAATTCTTTAACGAATTTCGAAATATGATGAAATCTTCAAAAAATACTTCAACGAATTTTGAAATCTGTTGAAGCACAAAAGATAGTGGTGTAGGATTTTTTGAATTGTAGAGAGAGAAAAACTTTAAAAAGAGTTACTTTAAATTAAGGTTTAATCATTTGTTACGTCTTTTTTTTTTTCTGGAAATATCAAATAAGTTTCTTAGTTTTTTTTGTCTCAATTAGATCCTTATTTTTATAAAATTGTTCTAATTAGACCCCTACTGTTAAATTAAATTGAGCTAACAGTGTTAGAATCTTGTTAAGGTGACATGCTAATTTTAGGTTTTTTAAATGACGTGGCAAGTTATTAGATAGTTATATCTCTGACGTGAATTTTTGTTTTTTCAAAATTAAAAGATTCAGAAAAGTTAATTGAACTTAATTATTTCTAAAAGTTAGGGATTTCCACCTTGCACCAGCCATCATCCTCCTCCATTAACCCTTTTGTGCCACCATTTCCACCTTGCACCAGCCACCATTAACACTGTTCAGCCACAAAACCAAAATTGCAAAAACCCAGAAACTAGGAAGCCATTATCAAACTCGCATTTTCCCACCAGAATCGCGAAACTCAGTTCGTATCGCCATGGAGATCACAACAACAACCTAAATCGAAACCACAAATCCACCATCCATCTCCACCTGAACCACTGAAACGCAATAATCCAAGACACAAAGCTCAAACCCAACCTCTGAAAACTCGATTCACACATCCTAGTTCAATCTTCGAACAACGCCGTCGTGAAATCGTGCCTTCTTCATGGCAATCTGCACCCAAATCGTGATTAGGGACAACCATCTTCTCAATGCGACAGAACCCCAAATCGTGCAGCCATGGAACCCTCAGACGCGAGTTCTCCATCGCGCATCTCCGCAGCACATCACCATCGTCAATCTTCCTACATATGCAATCCAAAATCATGCAACCATCTTCTCCAGGGAACCCTTGTGTCTTCTCCTTCTACAAACAAAAGTCACACAAAACGCAAAATCCCCTTCATCTCGCGCATCAGACCTGCAAAAAGGCCCAAGCAATAGAACCAGAAAATCCCCAATCTCCATCGTGTGCTGCAGTGCTGTGAGCATTTGCATTAATCAACTACGACCCAGATCGCGCTACCACCATGAAACCATATTCAAACCACCAAGTGAAACCCAGAAACCCAAATCGCAGCTTTACCAAGACATAGAAACCACTTGCAGCAACACCTTCATTTTCCCAACTTCCAACGACACAAGGTTCCACACTCACCAAAAAGACCAAAGCCCTAATTTCTTCGAAACCTCACGCTCAAATTCAAACTATTGCAAGCCTTAATTTTCACTTTCTCCAATTGATTCACAGTTCGAACAAACTAACATTTTNAATTTCTTTACCTGTTTTATTTATAGCATGATTCCTTATTTATTTGAACTCTACTATGGATTACAGCATGGCATTAGAGATCACCAGACTTAAAAACACGTGAATGCAGTGCAAAAGAAAATATCTTTTATGTAGTAATTTTTTTATTTTTCTATTAAAATATTGACATGTTATTTTGTAAATTTCTTGAATAATTTTTAAATATTTTATTTACTTGAAATCTTTATTCTTTTAAGAGAAGACTCGTTATTTAATATTTTAAGTATTTTAGCTATATTTCTTGTCCCATTGCTATTACTTGTGAAAGTCACCTGAGATTATCTCCATTATCTATTTTATTAAGCTAACATTTTATACTAAAATTAATTATAGTAATAAATTATGTGAAAGGGTTTGGATCTCATTCCCTTAGAAGGTAGTTAATATGTTTGGAGTAAGTATTTAATTGGATTTCAAAATCTCATTAACACAACTTTTACCAATTCAATAAAGCTCATCTCTTTTAATGCATCTCAATTTCCTTCATCACATTAGGCTGGAACAAGTGTCTCTCTACATATTTACTCAGTCTGGTTCATATCCTTGCCTTTGGTGAACATAATTACAAAATTTTAACTTTTTAATTAGATAAAGTATTTTAATCATTCGTAAATATAAAAAAATATTTTAGTGTCTAATAATTCAAAAACATTACCTAGTGATTTTTTAATGGATGTTAGTTGAAATTATTTTTCAGTCAAAATTTATTAATATTTTTATATTTAATGCAATCAAAATTTTTTTTAATTTACATTAATTAAGATTATTTTTAATTCACATTTACCATAAATATTTTGTTGTCATATGTTAAGTTATCTTTTAATAATATTGATTAATATTTTTTTTGGCTAACGTATCAACCAATGTAGGCTGAAAATCTTTCTTGAGTGACTAATAAAAAATAATTTTAATAACGGTGGATTGAAAGTTTTTCTTATCAACATTTTAATGACTTTGGATAAAAAATAATACATAACACAAGTGACATTGACAAAACAATCTCTGTAACTAATGTAGATTATATCAGTTGCATTGGCTACTACTTAACCAATGTAGATTGAAAATAAATTTAATATAAATTGATAAAGAAAAAACAATTCCAACAATATTAATAGAAAAATAACTCATATTTACATTGACAGAAAAATTCTAACTTATATCGACTAAAAAATAGTTATATTATAAAAAATATTTAGATTGGCATTAATTAAAATACAATCTTGTCAACGTTCCACATGATCTCTATGAAGATCAACTCAATGATGTGTTAGTTACTAGAGGTCAAAATGACAATATTCTAAACGAAACCAAATCTTAAAAATAATAAAATAAAAAATATAGATAAAAGAAATAAAAGAACTAATTAGAAATTTAACCTTTTTAAATACAATTTCAATTTTCATGATTTTAAATAATTAAATTATTCTGAATTTTTTTTTTAATTTTTTTAATTTTCATTTCAAACAATATATTTTACAATATAACTAGAATTACTCGAGCATGATAATGGTATGTTGTTTTTTCACGCACCTTCAATTGTTTTGTCTTGCACTTTTAATTTTCGAAAATAGTTTTCAGTAAATAAGATTATGTTTCTCTTCATAAAAAACAAGTGCGTGAAATCTATATTCTTCGCAAGCTTCAACGAACTTTGAAACTCGTTGAAAGACAAGTAAGTGAATTTCAATATCCGTTTCGATTTTCAACAAATTTTAAAATTCGTTAAAACTTTTAAAAATTCTTTTAACAGATTTCAAAATATGTGGAAGCCTTTAAAAAATATCTTTCAACAAAATTCGAAATTTATTAAAGCCTTTGAAAAATTCTTTAACGAATTTCGAAATATGATGAAATCTTCAAAAAATACTTCAACGAATTTTGAAATCTGTTGAAGCACAAAAGATAGTGGTGTAGGATTTTTTGAATTGTAGAGAGAGAAAAACTTTAAAAAGAGTTACTTTAAATTAAGGTTTAATCATTTGTTACGTCTTTTTTTTTTTCTGGAAATATCAAATAAGTTTCTTAGTTTTTTTTGTCTCAATTAGATCCTTATTTTTATAAAATTGTTCTAATTAGACCCCTACTGTTAAATTAAATTGAGCTAACAGTGTTAGAATCTTGTTAAGGTGACATGCTAATTTTAGGTTTTTTAAATGACGTGGCAAGTTATTAGATAGTTATATCTCTGACGTGAATTTTTGTTTTTTCAAAATTAAAAGATTCAGAAAAGTTAATTGAACTTAATTATTTCTAAAAGTTAGGGATTTCCACCTTGCACCAGCCATCATCCTCCTCCATTAACCCTTTTGTGCCACCATTTCCACCTTGCACCAGCCACCATTAACACTGTTCAGCCACAAAACCAAAATTGCAAAAACCCAGAAACTAGGAAGCCATTATCAAACTCGCATTTTCCCACCAGAATCGCGAAACTCAGTTCGTATCGCCATGGAGATCACAACAACAACCTAAATCGAAACCACAAATCCACCATCCATCTCCACCTGAACCACTGAAACGCAATAATCCAAGACACAAAGCTCAAACCCAACCTCTGAAAACTCGATTCACACATCCTAGTTCAATCTTCGAACAACGCCGTCGTGAAATCGTGCCTTCTTCATGGCAATCTGCACCCAAATCGTGATTAGGGACAACCATCTTCTCAATGCGACAGAACCCCAAATCGTGCAGCCATGGAACCCTCAGACGCGAGTTCTCCATCGCGCATCTTCGCAGCACATCACCATCGTCAATCTTCCTACATATGCAATCCAAAATCATGCAACCATCTTCTCCAGGGAACCCTTGTGTCTTCTCCTTCTACAAACAAAAGTCACACAAAACGCAAAATCCCCTTCATCTCGCGCATCAGACCTGCAAAAAGGCCCAAGCAATAGAACCAGAAAATCCCCAATCTCCATCGTGTGCTGCAGTGCTGTGAGCATTTGCATTAATCAACTACGACCCAGATCGCGCTACCACCATGAAACCATATTCAAACCACCAAGTGAAACCCAGAAACCCAAATCGCAGCTTTACCAAGACATAGAAACCACTTGCAGCAACACCTTCATTTTCCCAACTTCCAACGACACAAGGTTCCACACTCACCAAAAAGACCAAAGCCCTAATTTCTTCGAAACCTCACGCTCAAATTCAAACTATTGCAAGCCTTAATTTTCACTTTCTCCAATTGATTCACAGTTCGAACAAACTAACATTTTTTTCGCCAATGAACCCAAATTCAAAGAAACACTCATTTTTTTCTCAATTTCATTATGTATTTCCTAATTCGAAGAAAGCGACTGAATTTAAATAAATTTTCCCCAATTTTTTTAATTAAAAATTATTAATTTCCACGTCACAATCACCTTATTAACATATTACCTAGACCATGTAATTTAAAAAACTCTATCAACACACCACGATACGTTAGTCTAACAGCGTTGCTCCAATTTAACGACAAACCTTTAATTGTACCAATTTTACAAAAATTAGAACCTAATTGAGATGAAAAAAAAGTAAAAGGACCTACATGATATTCTCATAAAAAAAGATATGACAAATGATTAAACCTTAATGTTGTGTTCTTTTGGATGGATTTGAGGGAGATGATTTGAATGGATTTAAGTGAATTTGAGGATAATTTTTTTGTTATTTTTTTGAGTAGATTTGTGGGTAATTGAGAGTGGATTTGAGTGTAAAGTTTGTGAAAATTAGTGTAGGATTTGATTGATGTGAGACATTTAAAAAATTAGTATAATTGGTAGAAATTAAAGATTACCAAAATGCCCCTATCTATTAAAGTAATATAAAATGTTAATTTTTAATGTTATATTTAAATGTATAAATGTTAATAAAGAGAGGAAATTAATTAATAATAATTAAAATTAATTTTAAAATATTAAAAAAATTATAATGTAGTAAAATAAATTTATTTTTAAATGTAGTATTTGTTTGTAATATAATTTCTTACCGAATACTATCAATTTATTTGTCTACGAAAGTGAGATTCATTAATTTTAAACAAACATATAATTAAACGTAGTTATTATATTACATGATCTAAAAAAAAGTCCCAACATAATAACATACAAATATATTAATAGTTCATGATGACCTTGCTTCAGTGAGGTATCATTGCAATGCATTGAAACGATATTGTTGCGGCATCCCTATTAGACGTCTTGTATGGGATGGATGCGAAGATAAAAAGTCGAAGCACTGTCTGAATAAATTTTGATCTTCAATGTTCATAGTCTGTAATAAGTTTTCAATTTCTTCTGTTGTTAGATTAGATGGTTCAATCCTAGCATTTAACAGGGAATTTCGACACTCCATGGCCTGTGTTTGTCGTTCAAGAGCAATAGATAGTCTTCTTCCTTGATTAATTATTTCTTGCAGTTCATCTGTAATTCAAGAATCCATCTGATTTTCATTTAATTTCATTGAGCAATAAATAAAAGTATGAAAATTGATGTCATGCAATCATATATTCATTAAACATATAATACAAGATATTCAAAATATTTATGATAAAGAATAATTTCATGTGAACTTTTATTTTTTAATAAAATAAAAATAATAATTATGACATTAAATAATATAAATAATCAATAATGATTAAATAATCAATATTAAACAATTTATGTTGTCATATAAAAAACCTAAATACAAGTATAGATGAAAATTATTTTGTCAGGTAAGTAATATTTCAAAATTATAATTATAAGATTAAATAAAATATGTATAACAATATATTATATCTCTTTATACATTTATATACATAATACAATTTTTAATTTATAGATAATGTCTAAATAATAATTAAAGATAGTTATTTAATCAACAAAAAATGTAAACCCCCTTATACGATCAATTAGAACACAAAAAATATTAATGCTAATATAGTCATTAATAATGAGTGTTCACTTATCAGTTTACAAACTTCACTGAAAAACAAATACAATTAAGAAAATGATATAAGACTTACCAGATTTGAAGACGAATGAAGATTACTATATGCTGGTTTGAGCAAAAACTTGGAGTCCAAATTATAATGTAGAGTCCAAATTATAATGCAATGGCAGTGAGGTGAGTCACAGATTCTGCAATAACAATAACACTTTCTCCTTTTCTGTAGAAGATATATTCAAATCTGAATTTTTCTAAGCCTAAACCAAACGTGAAAAATATATCAAATTATTATAAAAAATGATTCAACAATGCACACAAACCATAAATAATGTTTCCAACTTACATAAAAATGGATCAGCTTGCCACTTAAGTCAATGATGCAGCTCTATCCACCAACTTCACAAGCAACCAGCCACCATATCTTGTTTTCTAAGAATGCAAATGGTATCAAAACATGTTAACATCAGTTTCTTACACTGCTAACCAGAGAAGAACTTCTTTCACTATCAACAAAAAAAATTACACATAATACCAATTAAACATAATGATCTTGATCAATGTCCACCACCTTGCCTAGGCTACACAGCACAGAAATGGTCCACCACCTTGCGAAATCTCCACCACCTGCATGCACCTTCACGTAGCTTGCTGCCAATACCTCCAAGCACTACATCACAAACATAGGGTTAGGGGTGCTCATCTTTTTATACCTACATGGACTTTAATGCATGCAAGAGGATGATTCACTCCAGCTTGGTCTCCTTCTCCAACGTCTCCTTCTCCAGCTTCGTGGAATGCTTAAACAACCATGGCAGCTCTCTGCAATGCCTGGAAAGCCTGAATACTACTGGCTGAAACCGGATACAACTGATGTGTCAATGGTTCCAAGTTCTGGAACCGAATACTCGAGGTATGGAACCGGATCCACCTCGTCTGTCAATGCTTCCAACCTCTCCACCTCCGTCTCTGTCTGCGACGACTGCTGCTCATAAGAACACACCCTCCACCATCTGCGCCCTTCTCGTCAACACCAAAGGCACCATCGCTTCCATGGATGAAGGTACGCTGGAGCTAACCAATGAATGCGAGGGACGGAGGAACGCAGTTATTGATGTCCAAACCACTCACAGACCACAACGAACCGGAAACGACGCCGGCAAAACCGAATAAACCCGCGCACACCTTGGCTGGAACCGGATACAATAATGTGTATCCGAATACGCCTTCGTTGGAAGTTCTTCGACAAGCTGGAACCGGATACGTGAAGTTGCTAGAGAAGCTGGATCCGGATACGTCTCCCCATGGAAGTTGTTGGAGAAGCTGGATCCGGATACACCAACCTTGTATCCGGATACGCCTGCTTTGGAACTCCTTCAAAATGCTCGAACCGGATACCCTCTTCTTCAAACCGAATACGCAGCCTGCTTCTTCACTTCTTCAATCCCTCCTTCCACGTTTGGTCATCTGTATCCACTCCGTCATCATCATCAACAGCGTTCTTGCTCCTCCATTAATGATTGTCTTGCTCTTCCTTTAAATCCCAGACCTTCTACCTACAACAACCACATCAAAAATGGAAAGAAACATTACCTCTACTCCACCGCTGGTCACTTTCAAGCCAATACTTATGGGATCTGTTATTAAGCATCCAATTCGAATAAGGTTTGTATTGGAATTTTATTTTTCGTACGGGGCATATAAGTCTTTATCCAGTAAATCAGCGTAAATCTTCTCAAATCAGCGAGATGAGTTCAGCACTAATATCTCGCAAATCAGCGGATTTATTTCTTCGCGAATCATCGCAAATCATCCTATGCGAACAACACCCATTTCTCAAATCCATCCTCACATATCAGCCTGAACAGTTTTTTCCTTTCAAACGAACACAGCCTAAATTATTTTTTTTAGGGAAGACAATTTTGAAATTTTAAAATTATTTGGAATGCAAAAAGAAATTGTTGGAGGTGCAGGGAGAAATGCTCCCACGGTAGTTGTTTATTTTTGTTTTTCAAATTTGTATTAAAAAATTATACAATTATTATTATATTTAAATAAATTATTTGTTTATAAATTATTTGTTTATATAATTACATTTAAGTATTATAATTGTGTATAATTATAAATATAATATTTAAATAAAAAGTTAAATAATATGAAAAAATTAAATAATTAATTATAGGTGTTTCTTATAACAAATTAATTAAAAATTAATAATATTATTTTAATATTGATTTTTCATGTTAAAGTAATAGGTTATAAAAAATACCACTAATAATACCAATAGATTATATTTATATTAATAATAATAATAATAATAATAACAAAATTAAAAATAATAATAAAAGATTAAAAAATAATATTTAGATATCAATTTGTTAGTAAAACAATAGTAATATTATTTTATGATTAAAGTTTATAATTAAACTTTTTGAGTTATATATTATATTAAAATGATATATATATATTTATTTATTTATTTATTTATGATTGATAATATTAACAATAAACAATAATATTTGGATCCATAAGTGAATTATCATCAAGACCAAACAGTCATGTAAATGAATTGGCGGATCATGGATCATAACAATTAATCTTAATGCTGATGAATTTAGATAAAGTGTGATTATCTACTATTGTACGTAATTAAGTCGGTGTTAATAAAAAGCTCACTCCAAAACTTATAAATATATATTTGAGGTAAGAAAGTATGTGATCTGCATTTACTATGTTATTGTTGTCTGAACTACCAACGTTTAACTAACTTTGGCATCAGAATGCCTTCTAGAGGTACCCTCCGAACGATTCGGAGAAGCGGTAACACTAGACTTGGACTTCAGGACTCTTTTGAACCGTAGACGACTCACTTGACTTTGGATCGTTGACCTTGACCCTACATTCCGAAATATTTTGGCGTCCACCATGGGGTTGAGTATTCAAAACCAACAAATCTTATGGTGACTATAAGGAACATGACGAGTAATGTCGCATTAAAAGAAACAAAGAATCAACCCAACTAGTTGAGGATGATTGAGAACATGCAAAGTCAAATGAAAGAAATGAAACGAAGATATGAATAGGAACTAATGGCCCTTGGGGCTAAGAATGTAGTCATATATATGCCAAGAGCAAAGTGCTCGGAAGTCGGTGCCTCATGCACCAACCCAACCACAACATCAGTTTGCTCCGATCAGACCTAGAGAACACCCATGTAGGACAATCCACGAGGATAGTAGGAAACACCCGTATGTGTAGACGATCAACACAATTAGTTTGTTGCCTTTCACACCGGCCATCATAGAGACTCTTATCCTCCTAGTTCCTCTGACCTTCGAGAAGTATGATGAATCAATTAATCCAAACAAGCATTTGAGAATGTTCGTGAATTAAATGACATTTTACATCGCAAGTAACCTAGTGTGGTGTATAGCTTTCTCCCCCTCCCTCGAAGGAGAAGCTTTGGCATTGTTCAACTTGTTGTTACTCAACTTTGTAAATAACTTTGTGGTCGTTCGTTCGTTGTTTGAAACTTATTTTGCCACGAGTCGGTTGCATCATCTAACAACTCATGCCTTGGTGAATCTTAGGCAAGAAAAAGAAGAGTTCCTTCATGCCATCATGGATCATTTCAAGAAGATCGCACGACAAATCACAAATCTCAACCATGAGATAGCTTTACACCATATGCTAACATCCTTGAGGATTGGGTCGTTCGCCGACAACCTGTGCATGAGACCAACCAATACCATGAATGAGTTAAGAGAAGGCGTCATAGAGTGCATGTGGGTGAAGGACAAGCGAGACTTTTGTAGACATATGAAGTATGAGGCTTCGTCAAGTGAGAATAAGGAAGGAAAAAAAAATCAAACAGTGGCAAGGAAAAGGGAGAGAGTCTCAACCAAAGAACCTACCCAGAGCACCACAGTTCCACTAATATACTCTCGTCAACACGACTAGAGCCAATATATTAGAAGAGGCTCTAAGAGCTTACTTGATTCCCTTCAAAGAAGGAGGGCTACACCCTAAGGTGATGATTGCAATAAGAATTGCCTATACCATAAAAATATGGGGCATCCTATAAAGGACTATGTCACCCTTCGTGACAAAATTGAGGAGTTGATCCGTGTAAATCACCTCAACAAATACATCAAAATCGAGCGAGAGGATAGGTGTGCTCCCCGCAAGAGAAGTCCCTTGAGGACGAGAGAGTGCTCTCGTCACTCCTTGAGAATTGAGTGATGACAAGACTCCAAGCATAGGAGCAGAAGCAGTAGTAGAGAATGCCCCTTCCGCGACTACATCAATACCATCTAGGGAAGGTTCACGGAAGGCAGATCCTCATCGTCAACGTGCAAGTACCATATCCAAGCATTGAAGATTGTCCATTTGGTGGACAAGAAGCCAAAGTTTATGCCTCCCATCACTTTTACTAATGAAGACTTCAAAGCACCTGATCCCGATTAGAATGACTCCATTTGTCATAACAACTGAGATAACTCGTTATGGGATGAGTAAAGTGTTGATCGACCAAGGGAGCTCGGTTAACATCCTGTATTGGAAGACCTTCTTCAAGATGAACCTCTTAAAAGATCTCATTATGTCATACAATGAGAAAATAGTTGGCTTTGTAAGAGAGAGATTAAATAATCATGGCTACGTGGACTTGAGGATAAGGTTAGGGATCGATTGAGACAATAAGGAGATGTGGATGAGGTATATCCGGTACGGTCGCCCGATTGAGCGCCCTTAATCGACGCAAAACCGCCAGCTCCCGTCCTTCTTCTTTACCAAAATGACTGGGCTCGAATACGGGCTGTGGCTCGGCCGGATCACCCCAATTCGAAGCATTTCTGCAACTTGTCGTTCGATCTCACCCTTCATGACATGCGGATACTGATAAGGCCGGACGTTCACTGGGTCCATTCCCTCCTTCAGCTTTATCTGGTGCACCCTCTCTCTTTCAGGTGGAAGACTAGTGGGCTCTGCGAACACCTTGTGATACCGGCCCAATAATTTTTCCAGTTTCTCCCTCTGTCTTTCAAAAAGGTCCTTGCCATTCTGATTCACGTTCTGGGCGTCCCGCAAGCCCAACTCCCAAATCAGTAAGCAGACTTCCACGTCATCTACTTTTGATGAAGTTCTGGGTCCCACTATCTTTCTTTCTAATGTGGGGTCACCTTTAATGGTGATCTCCTCTTCTCCTTGTCGGTAAGTCATGATTAAGGTTCCCCAGTCCACCGTCACCTTCCCCAATTTCCTCAACCAGTCTATCCCTAGAATCAACTCTACCCCTCCTAACTTGAACAAATAAAACCGTTCAACGATATTAGCTTCTCCGACCTTTACTGCCACCTGTTCAAAACACCCCCTAATCTTCTTCCGTTGACCATCCCCCAAGCACACGAGATACGATTGGGTATCCTCCACCTTCAACCCCAGTTCCTCCACTACTCTGCGACTAATGAAATTGTTGCTCGCGCCACTGTCGATCAGCACCAAGACCTCTCGCCGACCTATCCGCCCCCACAACTTCATCGTTTTGGGGGACGACAATCCCCTGCTGACAAAGCCGACAGTTCCATTTGAGCGATGTTCACTTCTGTTTCCGTCTCGCCGCTGTCTTCCTCCTCCTCAGCTACCACGATCAACATGCGAAGTCCTCGTTCTGGACACCGATGACCTGAACCAAACGGCCCTCCGCAGCGGAAACATTTGCCCTCCTCTCTCCTTTTCAAGTACTCCGCATAAGGTAGGTTTCGTAGGCCTCGATCTCTCCCGTCACCGGTGGTTCTAGCAACGCCTCCTCCTTGGGCCGTCTCCCTCTTAACCAACCCGACACTCTCGATGGCTCCNTGAATTATCATCAAGACCAAACAGTCATGTAAATGAATTGGCGGATCATGGATCATAACAATTAATCTTAATGCTGATGAATTTAGATAAAGTGTGATTATCTACTATTGTACGTAATTAAGTCGGTGTTAATAAAAAGCTCACTCCAAAACTTATAAATATATATTTGAGGTAAGAAAGTATGTGATCTGCATTTACTATGTTATTGTTGTCTGAACTACCAACGTTTAACTAACTTTGGCATCAGAATGCCTTCTAGAGGTACCCTCCGAACGATTCGGAGAAGCGGTAACACTAGACTTGGACTTCAGGACTCTTTTGAACCGTAGACGACTCACTTGACTTTGGATCGTTGACCTTGACCCTACATTCCGAAATATTTTGGCGTCCACCATGGGGTTGAGTATTCAAAACCAACAAATCTTATGGTGACTATAAGGAACATGACGAGTAATGTCGCATTAAAAGAAACAAAGAATCAACCCAACTAGTTGAGGATGATTGAGAACATGCAAAGTCAAATGAAAGAAATGAAACGAAGATATGAATAGGAACTAATGGCCCTTGGGGCTAAGAATGTAGTCATATGCCAAGAGCAAAGTGCTCGGAAGTCGGTGCCTCATGCACCAACCCAACCACAACATCAGTTTGCTCCGATCAGACCTAGAGAACACCCATGTAGGACAATCCACGAGGATAGTAGGAAACACCCGTATGTGTAGACGATCAACACAATTAGTTTGTTGCCTTTCACACCGGCCATCATAGAGACTCTTATCCTCCTAGTTCCTCTGACCTTCGAGAAGTATGATGAATCAATTAATCCAAACAAGCATTTGAGAATGTTCGTGAATTAAATGACATTTTACATCGCAAGTAACCTAGTGTGGTGTATAGCTTTCTCCCCCTCCCTCGAAGGAGAAGCTTTGGCATTGTTCAACTTGTTGTTACTCAACTTTGTAAATAACTTTGTGGTCGTTCGTTCGTTGTTTGAAACTTATTTTGCCACGAGTCGGTTGCATCATCTAACAACTCATGCCTTGGTGA